TTCCGTTGGTTACTAGTCGATGTTGCTAGCATGTCCTTTTTTCAGGCCCACTTAATTTCGACATTTTTAGTCTGAGTTTAGCTCACATTAGGAACAAGGCGGCTGACTTGAACGGGGGACAACCTAGGCTAGGTAGCGCGGGGAGGGACCAGGGAGGTACCACACATATATATATATATATATGTATATACATACATACATAAACATAAACATACACGTAAATATAAATATAACATAAATGTTAAACATAAATACATATATATATATACACATACATACACACAAATAAATAAACAAATAAGTAAATTTATATATATATGTGTGTGTGTGTGTTTTGCATGTACTCTTTGATTTCCACTACCGATCTATAAACTTTATTTACATGTCTATACATTCACAAGCATGGGCTTCTGTCTACGCAAGCATACAAAGAACTGCTTCCCCGGCAGAGTCCTTGGCTTTGATCGGCCGGATCCTCTCATGGGTACCAGCTTTCGGGGTTTTTTCCGGGTCCAGGGTTTAGGATCTGGGGGTTGGGGCAGTTTTGGGACTTGAGGGTTTTGAGGCTCTTGGGTTCAGGGTTGTAGATTTAGGAGTCGGGGCCCCTTCCGGGGGGTGCGACAAGCACGGCAGTTCGGGGACCCATTCGCAGCACAAGGAGTGCAGCAGAAAGAAGCGCTACAGAGAGCAGGAATTGACAGTCGACAAATCAGACAACGACACTCAATCTCGAAGGCAGCTATGACAATCGATAGGGGTGAGACTCGTAATTAACACTGGTCATGCAAGTATGTGTGCGTACCAGTGACTGGCATTCCGTCTCCGGTATGTTTGCCCACATGCCCGCAGTACCACTCTTACAATATTATCCACGTCCCTCGCGGCATTCGCTTGATAAATGACGAAGCAATTCAACGTCCTAACAACATTGGCAGTATCAAAACAGTATCAATGTCATGGCGCGCTATTTCGGTACCGAAGGGCTGCCCCTGGTATAGCTGCCACACATCAGTTCACGGCCTGGGCTACGCAGTTCGGATTTCAAAGTAACAAGGCCAATCAGAACAAGGGACAGGATGATGTGCAATGGATTGCTGACCCAGAGCCCTGTTCTCGCATTCCTGTGGCACAGTGACGCAGAACAAAAGGAGTGGTATCGACACTCATGGCGATGCATCAATAAGCGAGAGGAAGACAGAAGTCATCGCAAGAACCAAGAGGAGACGAGTAACAAGTGGTGTAGCAATAGAAACAACGCCGACGGTGATGGTGACAGCACGAATGCCGCTGCAGTGCTGCAAGATTCCCAGTCGTCACAGAATCAAACTTCGTCCTAGGCTCGACACCGCCCTCGCCTCGACTCCGGAACTTTCTTCTTGACGGAGAGGTCGTAGAAGCGCTTCTGAGCAGCAGTCGCTGGTGAGACACCACACCCTCTGGAGAGAAAGGGGAATCATACCGGAAGGTTCCATGATGCTGCGCTGCCAGGTGCGGCGCAGAGCTACCCCGTCCCCCCCACGCCCAAGCCCTGCCAGCCACCACCGGAAGTCTGGGGACTCAAGTGGCTGAGGGATGAAGACGTTGAGCGCGGTTCGGGGTCGCGGAACATGGCTGCCGGGATGCTTCGGGCGGCTGAGAAGTGTCCGACTATCCCGATGAAGCAGCGCTTCTGCTAAACATCCTGCATCACGCCCCGTGATATTCATCGCACACACAAAGGGTTCTTGAAAAGGCCTCCTCTGCGGCCATCTCAAAGCCCCCAAAAGCCAACGTGCAGAGCCGTCATCCCTGAAATCGGCATGGAGTCCAGGCCCGAAAGCACTGGCTTTGAAGGCTGCCAGCTTCACATTGGCAACCCCGACATTCCAGGACTCTGCTAAAGCCTTCAAAATAGCCTCAATACCCGGTAAATGTGTGGTAGTAGCAAATGTCCTTTTCTGATCGCGCCAAGCAGCTCCGCTTTCGCTCCGGAGGACACGGAGAACTTCGGTCACCACGTACTTTTGCAGCTGACCACTGAGGTAATAAACCTTGGGAGCTGGACGGGATGACAGGGGAATCACACCTGGACCGTAAACGGAAAGGGAACAGCACCTAAACGCAGCTCTCACTGCTCTACTAGCTCCTGTAGCGGGACTCCGGAATTTCTTCGATTTTCTTCGTGTGGGAGCGGAACTAGTGCTAGATTAGCAAAAAAAATAGCGATTCCCAACGAAACCCCGAACAAAGAGCCACACCCTCAAAGCCTGAACCCCGAAAAACCCCGTAAACATAAAAGCCTATAAACTCTAAAGAAGAGTCGCTCCTCAACATTTGTGCGCCATCCTTGGTCTTGTTTGACTGAGCATCAAGCTTTTTGGCCAGTATGGAACCTCTTCTCCGTCGCGGCGGGTTTTGCAAGCGCCTGTGCCTGGTCATGCACAGCGGTTTCGACTCACACATTCACACACAGGCAGGCTGTTCAGAGGTCTAGGGGTTTAGAATCCAGAATTCCGAAGTAGGGATGCTGGGGTGCACACTTTGGTTGAACCCCGCGCAGCTTGTTTGTTGTCTGCTCCAGCGCGTTCCGCTTGCTCGCACCTCGCAACATCATGCTGACCTCAGTGCCTAAAGCTGTAGCAGCACTGGTGCGCCAGCTGCTGATGATACTGTACTAGCTTGCCTGCTCTGTGTTTGGACACCATGCTGCAGCGCCGACCCAAACTTACCTGGCCCTCAGCGCTAAGCTCCAAACACCCAACCCCCTTGAACCTCTGGCGCAGCGGCGCTTGCATCGCCCTGTCCGGCGGCTGCAGGGGGCGGTGCGGCATTAGCCTCAGTCAGACCCCCTATAGGACCCCTAAATGCAAGTGAAACGGCTGCTTCCGCTCGGGGGCCTCTGCCTACGCCCTGTGATGCAGAGCAGCTCGATCCCCTCAACTCTTCAACCCTACTTGCTGCTCGAAACTACACCCCTCCACCTTCGGAGCCTGGGCCCGAAAACCCTAAACCTCCAACTCTCTACCTTAAGCCCTAGAGCCCCTCGACTACGGGGGAGGAGCCGAGTTGCCGCAGCGTTGGCTGCGACTTTGGCTTTGGCGCTCTGGGAAGGTCTCGGTCTCAGCTTTCTCGGGTCTGCCTGTGCCGGCATGTTGGCAAAGTGGGTGCAGCAACACGGATATATATATATATACATACATACACACACACACACCCCTCAGCCCTAGTCCGGTCTGCTCAGGACGACCTTTGGCGCAGGCAGGCAAGACCGGACAGTCCCAACCAACACGACAAACACAGCAATCATCCTAAAGCCTCCTAGCGCCCCTTGGCCCACTTGGAGCGCCTTGGGCTTACCAGAGCAGTCATAGGACACGATTGCGCCTGGGTCGGCTAGTTGATACTAGCAGCTTCCGTGCTGTGATTGATGCTATTCCATTGTCATCTTTCTCAGATATGCTCTAGCTGGACCTGAAATTCTTGTGTCATGCTTCCGGTACTCCAAACCTTGCATCTGCGCTCTAGACCAGCAACCACAGGTGCATGAGGCTGATCTGCGATGGATGATGGCCAAGGCACCATCTTTCCGCCGATTCACTTTCTTGATGCGGGTGTTGAGCCAGGTCCTCCGCGGCAACCGACCCCCGCTTGCGCCCATGCAGTCATCCGTGCTCCCCTTTGCTCCGCTTCGTCTATCTGGGAAGCCTAAACCCTGAGTTCAAACATCTCCAACCCGAGCATAAGGATGGATGCTGTTGCAGTGAGATTGCAGCCCGAGCCCTGCGTGCCCATTCAAGGTCGGCGCTGCAGCATGTGTGTGTGTGTGTGTGTGCATGCATGCAAATGTATTCTGTATGTATGTATATTTTATATACATATAGGTTTATTTGTTGGTGTGTATTCCCTATGTGCGCATACATGCAAGCAGAATGGAGCAGAATGTAATGCATCTACATAAATGAGTACAAAAAAATGTATGCATGTATGTATGTACGTATGTATGTATGTACATATCTATATCTATATATCCATATCTATATCTATATATATATATATGTATACATATGGTTGTGTGTGTGTGTGTGTCTGCATGTATGTGTGTGTATCTGTATGTACACATGTATGTGCATATATGTGTATATGCACGTATATGTGTGTATGCACATGAATGTGTATGCCTGCATATGTGCGTGTACATATGCATATATACATATATACATATATATATATATTGTTTTCTGAATGCATAAACCCTGTGGCGTCATATTGCAGATCTGCGTAAACAATGTGTGTACATGTGTATACACACACACACATATATATATATAGACACACACACACCTCTCTGTATGTTGTATTTCGGTATGCGTGTATGTGCAGGTACGTGCGAATGTATACACACGTCTACAAAGACATGACTACGTGTATGTACACACACACATATATATATATATATATCTGTGTGTGTGCTTCGAATACTATTAGTCAGCTAGCGAGAGACTCTAAATATGTTCGCGCACTTGTGTGTAGATAAACATGGGTGCATGCATGCATAGGGTGACCTGAACCTGCAAACGCTGACAGCACGCTGATCATCAATGCAGCTGAGCATCCGCTGATGGCTGCTCCTTGGAAGGCAAATTCGGCCGTTGCAGGAATACAGTATAAGCAAGCTGTCGTGTAATTCCAACAGACAGAACTCACCAGGCTTGACGAGTGTCCAGTACCACACACGATCGCCGACCTTGAAGACAGGCTGCTTCGCCTACACCAGGACATGCATCTGCATTTGCTCTCGAAAGAGTCACATCAGCCAATCAGTTGAGGATCAAGGCATGGTTCCCGTTCCGAGCTCCTTTTTTCCGATTCAACAGCTCGAGGTGTTGGACCTTTTCAGGTCTCGCCGGTCTACGAAATGCCTGGACGAGAGCGATAGAGCGATGCGGCTGCTCTTCTTCGCGGAACTGCGTCGTCTTGGGTGTGCATGGTCCCTGCTCCATAAGTGCTCAATCGATGGCATTTCAAGTTGGTCGGACATCTAGTATCCAGGCACGCTGTGCTCCCATCTCCTCCGGCGCGCCTGCTCGCAGTACTGCCTCGAGTGCGGAATCACCCTGGCTTCGCGCCCAGTCAGCTGGCTTCCTTCCATCTGTGTCCCTGGCGTGCGCATCGGCACCGAAGGCCAGCAGGGCATAGGACACCTGAGGATGTCCTCGGGATGCCCAGTGCAAGGGTGTTTCCCCGTCTGCATCTCGGACATGCACGTTGGCACCCGAAGTCAGCAGCAATTCTGTGCAGGACAGGTGCCCGGCAAAGGCCGCCCAATGCAGTGCAGTCATACCCGAGGAGTCTGCTTTCTCGGAGTCCGCTCCCGACATCAGCAACATGTAGGCCGCCTCTGATGGGAAAATGTTTACAACCGCCGGCTTCTGCTACAGCTCAAGACTGGCACAACAGCACAGGCATCCAAAATCCGCCTGTCAAAATGCGTCAAACCCATAATGTATAACATGATACACAGGAGAGTAGAATAAACGAGAATTGCATAGAACAAACCATCATGTACTAATCACTGAAAGAATAGGTTAGGAACCAATAGAACACACCATGATATAGTAGAGATGATGATCCGAAGTATAGTAAAACTTTAAAAATAGGAATACAACACTCTCCAACTGAATTTAACGCCATACAATATAGTACCATGTTCAATAAAAAATAGAAATCGCAGCATTATGCATTTCTCTATGCATATATATATATATATGTATGTATGTATATACGCGTATATATATATATACATATATATGTATATATATATATATATGTACTCATTCCTCTCCTCTATCTATTAATTCGTCTGTTTATATTGTACTGGTGAGGATGATGAAACATGGCAAAAAGTTATGTAAGCAATAGAATGTGTAGAATATGACATATGATGGAAAAATATGGAAAATATGTTTCGAGCTACAGAAAATACGACCCGATTTACAATAAAATGCGTTGGAAATTAAACAATGCAAAATGCCGTAATACAAGTAACAAACAACAGAACAGAATATGACATCATATAATATATTATACTGCAATAAAGTATAAGATAACTTAACAAACATCAGGTCATATCATCCAAAAAAAAATTAAGTATGAAATTATGAAACTAACATGTGATATAATGTGGTATGATATAATGTTATGTAGTGTATAGTATAGTAGAATCTAACATAAAATAGCATAATACAATGCAATTCAATATAATACAATACAGTGCAATATCCAGAATACTGTGGAATATAACATCGTATACTATAGCAAATAGGAAGCATTCAGTCTGATCCAATCTGTCATCACGCCAAACAAGAAAATCCAATGTCATACCAAACAAAATAACATCCCATGTTTTGATACAGTGTTATGTATGTTATAGGATGTAACATACCCTGAGCCTCTGGCATGCCTGCCTGCACTGCCAAGTGGAGCGGCTCTTGGCCCCTCTCATCGGGCCCGTTCACCGCAGCCCGGGCCTCAAGGAGCCTTATCTCCGGAGAGCTTAGGGTTTCCCTTGAGTAGCAAGGGGTACTGACTCATATGATTTTCTGCTTAAAGTATGCAAACGGCTGACAACAAAGTATTTTTTGTACAAATACATTCAAATTTTCAGGGGACAGAACTTATTCCCAATCATCCCGACCCCTATGTTATCCTGCTTGTGCTTCGTGTATAGGTATATGTAGAGCCGGAGAGAACCTAAACAGCAGGATTCTTACTCCACCAAAAAACCAGGGACCCCTGATTTTATGACTTGACGAGGACTACATAGTATGAAAACCCAGCACAACCAGGTGATCTCCCGATGCCACGAACAAGGGACAAAATCAGCCCAAAGGCATGGTGTGTACACACATACGTATATATATATATATCATGTGTGTGTGCCCGTGTGCATCTGTGCATAGAAGTGAACATATATACATACATATATATATATACATATATGTACACACACACACACACGCGTGCAGGTGCTCCGTAAACTCACATGCATAAGCTGATTGAATGAACTGTGTAGTTGCTGGTCGTTGATCTATTTGACTCAGCTCCCTCATGGCATGTCTACACAAGGATGTAATGTGCATAGAATACTTATTACGCAGTCTGAAGGGTCGTCTTTTCGGTGCTTAACGAACCTCAAAGAGTCACTGGGCCCTACATTGTCCCGTGCTCAGTTAAGCACGATTCACCATGAGACAATCCAAGAAACAGGGCCAGAGCTTTGATGTACCCTCCCTGCGCGGCCAGATGCAATGGGCGCCGCTGGCGGTGGTCCAGAGAGTCGGGAGAAACCTTGGCCGGATGTTGCTAAGTTTGCGGGTCATGGCCCAGGTTTGGAGCCTGCCGGGCCGAGGGGCCCATGAAAGGGACGTATCCCCAAACCCTACAAAGCAAACCTTTGAAGAAGTGGGCCAAGGAGCAGCTTTTGAAAGCAGCCAGTCCACGGTCTCGTCCTGGCCGTTGCTGCTGGCGGCATGTAGGGGCGTCCGCCCACCAGAGTCCTGAAAGTTGGGATCCCCTCGCTGATCCTTGGCCGCTCTCAAAACGCCTTCTTACACATGAAGGTGGGCTTATCACAAGAATTGCAATGTAATTCAAGATCCCAGCATCTAGTAACATCGTCAGCTTGTCAATTCTTCCCCGTGCTGCCCAACCATACAGAGCTGCCGAAGCCGAGGCAGAGAATTCCGAGCTCGAATCGCACAGCACGCGTAGAGCGGCAACCCCAAAGAGATGCGCTTGTCGCATGGCAGACCATCGGCCCAGGAATGATGCTGCTTGAGGGTACTACTATACGGATTTTCTAATGGTAGTGCAAGGGGACTGACTACAATGGTATATAAAAGCCATCATCCTAGATCGTGCGGCTTTGCAAGCAGCAGGAACTCTTGAGGTGAAATTGCCCCTCGTACTATGATGCTTGTGCAGCCTGCTTTCCCAGGATTCTAAGAAGGATCTCTGGGCAATTACATCCGAAGCCGGAGTGGAACGGAACAAAACCTGCGGGCAAGGGCTACTAAGAGCGTATCCCGACTCGTATCCCGCAGGGGAGGAGAGGTAAAAAAGGGCTCCAGAGAGTCTTCCCTAAACCCCAAGACCTTTTTCCTAAACCCTAAACCCATACTATAAGTGTCCTAAACCCCAAAACCATTTTCCTAAACCCTCAACCCATGCTATAAGTGTCCTGCGGTGTTTCGTGGCTTTCAGGCTAAAGCTTCTCCTATGCAACCCTAGGGACTTAGAGCCGCCAAACCATACTGTTGATGATATAAATCCTGCATTACCTTAAGGAACCTAAACTATGGGAACTATGGTATGTATGTGTATATATATATATATTGATTGATTGCATATTATGTGTAATGATGCAGGATTTATACCATCAACCGTATGGCTTTGGATTTAGGGCTTAGGGCTCAGAGATTACACCTTCTTCCACCCGGGTTCTAAGGTTTCGGGTCCAACCTGCAAGATACCCTTCGTGAGACCTCAGGAAGTCTAGGGCACTTTGACTTAACTGAAACTGAGTCATGCGGCTTCCGACCAGTGTGTTCGGAATGCTGCCGTCTCTCAAGACATGAACTTTCTCTGAATTCCACACTCCGCAGCCTTTACCTGCAAGCATCTGTTCGTCTAGGTCCTACATTGAATGCCAGGCCCCCTAAGACCCCATGACCAATCCTTCTGCTTCTGCTTCATCTTTGCAGCCATCCCTGTGGGCAGGGCCACACCTGAGGTGAATCAGTACGCCACAGCCCAGAGCTCTGAAAGGAGCTCGCGGCGGAGACAAGCAGAAAGGTCTTCAACACCTTGAAGTTGATGACATGCATCTCTATGCAGGATAAAGCATGCTGTGGCTTCGAAATGGGGAGGCATCAGGCTAGCCTCGCAGGTGCCCGGGTACAATGCTGTCACATCAACCACATCATCAACGACGACGACTGGCGGCGAGGACCACAGTGGTTACGACTGCGACGACGACTCCTACTCCGACTCCGACTCCTACCTGCCGCATTGCGATGGGTGCGGCATCACTAGGCTTCCAGCTCACGAAATTCATTAGGACCGGGTGCGGCCGGGGCTGCACTTGCAACTGAAACGATTGCCTTGGGGGCCACGGATGTGGACTAAAAAGCGGGTGCTGCACCCCCGACCCCACCGATTCCTGTTCCTGCTCCTTCCGCATCTTCCGTCACCACCACCACGACCTGCTGCTGCTCCTGCTGCTAAGTTTCCACTACTACTCCTACTACTACTACTACGACTGCGATGACGACGACGACGACGACGACAACGACTACTGCTCCACTGCCACCGCGGCAACCACCACTTCTCCCTCTACCTCCAACCACGGCCAGTAGTAGCACCGCCAATGTACTACTATTGCTACGACGAGTACGGGTAACCTTGCGTTGCGTTCCCCCTTTGGTGCTGTTGCCAAGCTTGCAACAGTTTCAGCTGTGCAGATTGTTCTCCAGCGGAAACCAATGAAGCCGCAAGAGAATACCTAAGTGCCGGGCGTGGAGGTACCACCTTTCTTTCAAAGGCTTTTACTGCTGTTCCTGCAGCAGGTGGCCCTGTGCCAGCTTCCTTGGGAGTAGCTGCAGCGGCTGCAGCTCGCGGCGCTTGGCCGGTAGTTGCCTGCTCGACTGATACTCTGTCTGTGAAATCTGTCTGTCAGCGCTCATTCGTGCATTCAGGCTTGGCTTCGGCTTCGAAGACATGGGTGATCAGATCGGATCCAACACGAAGTCCAGCAGGCGCACACCAGATGGAGATAAGTGAGTTGTGGGCAGCTGGCAGCGGGAACACTGCCTTTTGCTGCAGTTTTTGCGGCGCTGCCCGCACCTTTGCAAAGGTTTTGCTACAACTAATAAACTTCTTGATGCAAACTGCAACTGTCCTGCATCTGGGTTCATGAGAAGGGCAGCCGAACACTGACGAGTAATATTCATGCAAGACGTGAGCGAAGTAGGAGCAAACAGAATCGATAACATTCCCCACTTCGTGCAGCTGCTTCAGTTCGGGTGAGGACATTGCAAAGAGAAGCTTGGCGTCGAAGAGCACAAGGCGAAAGGACGCTAAATCAACCCGGGAGAGAGCACAAGGAGACTAAGACATGCGAGGCCATGCATCCGCCATGCGTGCAAATCTCGAGCTCAATGTTGAATCGCCCTGCTTGCGCCTTCGTCGCCAGTGCATAAGGCTTGCCCGAGCAGTCCTTGCTGTTGAAGCAGGGAGCACAAGCAGACCGCATTTAGGATTCAGAGTGTATGACCACGAAGTGCTATGAGTGAAGTGCAAGCAGCATTGTCATTACCATGTTGTCCAACAGCAGGACAACTTTTTGGGAAAGACGGCCACACGAAAGTTCAAGTGCAATGCTGGTCATCGCAAAAGCTGCCTTGCAAGCGAGTTGCATAAGCAGTCACTTTGCCATGTTCGTCCAGATGCAGCGCTTTGACACGAGTCGTGACCCACTTGCCTTCATGGGAATCCGAGCTGTTTCGCAAGGACTGCCTGGAAACCCATAATTAGATCCATAGACGACCTCCCGTCTTTTATTTTCTCATGGACCTGCGAGAAGGAATCGCAAAACACAAAGGTGAAGGAGCCGCAAGCGAGAGAAAAGGCTCAAGGTACCTTTACCGCAATTCTGGTGTCCCGGTCGATCTGTTGCTCGGTGTTCGGTTCCGTGCCCCGGTCGATGTCTCGTTCCACATTGTGGCAGGTGCCTGCCTGTGTCTCGATCATCGTGTCAATTCGCTCTTACGGTGCACTCCGGCCAGGTATTCGGGCATTCCGACACTTAGTGGCCCGGTCTCAGAAGCTTGTATTGAACACCCACCATGGTTAGGATAAGCGAGCGTGCCGACACGAACATCAAGAGTTGCGCCATGTTGCGCCAGCGAACGCCGAGTAGCATCCACATCGACACACCGACCGCCGATCACGAAACGCGCCGGGACTCGGACTGACAAGCGGGTGTGTCATATGGTGCATGGACAAACTGAGCATTTCACTTTGAAGGCGGGATGCTGGCTTAAAACCGACTGCAACTTGGAATTAATTAGGGCCCATCGCTGACTTGGCTTTTCTCTACAGTGTGCACAGCATCAAGCTTATGTGTGTTTAAGCACTACCACTACATCGGTTCTTGACTACCGTCACTACCGCTCTCATTTCCCGTACCCGTGTTTCATTGCACCTTATGTATGAGGAACAGCAGAATAGCAACAAACACATCACCTGAGCCCCGGCCCTTACATGCGCTTTTGAAATCCAAACTGCAAGAACCGGGCTGTGACCAGTGGCCTTTGGTAGAGCTCCAGTACTGCCTTGACTGCACAGCCCCTTGCCCAGGAATGGAACATGCACTTCCCTAGACCCTGCATCTACCCTCCCTTCGACCCTAACTACCCAGTGTTTGGGACAACTTACCCCTTTCTGAGGGTACAAGGAGAGTCCTACTTGAAGCCCCTCGGGCTTCCCTGAACCCCTGAACCACTTTGTGAAGGACTTTGAGCTGCTGCAATCGATGCGGCTTGTTTCATGTTGATCTTCGTGTCACCGAAGAAGTCGAAAGATCAGAACAGCTCATGGCCGCCGTTCTGCTGTAGTTGTCACTGCGGTTAAATGCCAGGGGGCTGAGTTTGAGGCTCTTGGCCTGGGCTTTAGAGTTTTTGGAGTGGGACTTCTATGTAGAGACTCGTCCCCCAATCGAGGTTTTTCAAGGCTTGCGTTGCATGTGGCCTCCTAACCCATTTCCTTTGTGAGTTAGCAAGACGACGGGAGCGAACAATAATTTCTGGCAGCTAGTATCATGAATGGCCTGAGTATAACCACAAGGAAAACCCCGGCGGTATTCCTGAAATGTCTACCGGACGGTCGATCGGATGAGAATGGTGCCACTGCCGCAGGGTGTATGCTTGCGGCTTTCGGGCCAGTTCAATCTTTCCCTGAAGTCGAGATGCACCACGCTGCCGACGGGAAAAATCGGTCCATCGCGCTTCCTGGCGATGCGAAGAACCACTACTACTGCTACTACTACTAATACTACTACTACTACTACTAGTACTAATACTAGTACTAGTACTACTACTAGTACTACTACTAGTACTAGTACTAGTACTACTACTAGTACTACTACTAGTACTACTACTAGTACTACTACTAGTACTACTAGTTCTACTAGTACTACTACTAGTACTACTAGTACTACTACTACGACGACGACGACGACAACGACTACTACTACTACTACTACTATCACCACCACCTTTATTTCTACAATTACCACGATTACTGCCATTACTATTGCCATGACTGTCCCTGTTGCTTAAATTTTTGACGAGACGCTCGGTTGCGAGCTCTGGGACTTAGGCTTTAGGGATTCAGAAACTTAGGGATTGAGGTTTTGAAATTTGGGGTTTACAATTTAGGCAGTACGAAGCGTTTAGGGTTGACAAAGTTGAGGGTTTTCCGTGGAATGGCGCGTAGGCGACAATGTCTTGCAGTACTGCGGCGATGAGCTGTCAAAGCCTGTCGATAGAAGGCTTTTGCTTCTTTCCCCACGCCGCACAAGCGGAGCATTGCTTTGGGACCAGCATGGCTGTGGAGAGGCGGGCTGGCGTAGTGGGTCGCCATCGAGGTCGAGGGGTTTAAGCGCCCAAATACACAAGGTGGGCCGCCTAGGCCTTGAGTTTTAGGTACAGGGATCAATCGGGCTAGGGTTCAGGGGTTTCAGG